GGCTATCGTGGCGGAGCTACAACAAGTGAGGCATCGACGGCCGCACTCGGCAAGACGGTGATTGGTGGAGAAATTTTGCACAACAGACGGGGCGGGAGGAGGAGCAGGTGAGGGCACATATTTTTTCCTGGGGCCAGGCCCCCGCAGCTCCTTCTCTCGCTCGAGCGTGTCGACCGTGGCTCTGAAAAGACGTAGACGGACCAATAACGCCTTCTTTTGCCACGTGGCAACACGATACACAACATCCTCGGGCACTTGGCACCTGGCAGCGGCAGCGTGAGCGAGCTCGTCAGCAACAGTATTTCCCAAGACCATTCACAGGGGGAATCGTCGGGTCATGACGTCGCTGGCCTCGAGATGTGAGTTGACGAATAACACAAACGAGGACGGATCTCTCTGCCTGAACTGCACACCGATGCGGTACCAAAGGTCCGCATGAACTCCTTCTGGCTCCAGGTAGCGCCGTTCGGCCCACCCGTTGGCCACATTCTGGCTGTCGGTGGTGAAAACTACAAAGCCTGACGAGTACCCAGCTGCAAGAAGGAGCGCGCGCAGCTCTCCTCGCGGCACCGATTGGCGAGGTCCTACCAGGGCCCCCGAGACTGTCGTGGGCATCGCCAGCGGCTCGAAGCAAGACACGGTACATACTGCGAGGCCCGCCCGTCTAAACCTCGAGTCACTCGAATACTTGCCGCCACTGGCATCGCCAAATAGATGCAAAGGCTGCTGCCAGGCGCCTGTGCCAAACCAGGCTGAATCCTCCTCTTTCGACAGACCCGGAGAGAACCGACGCTCCTCCTCGTCTGGCGGGGGAATGGACACCCAGCTTGACGACATCAGCCCACGCAGCCAGAAGCACTCGGCCGACTCCCAATTGGTGTACGCCAACTGCGCCAGACATTCGGAGTGAGCGTACGCTGGAGCTCCCGTGTTATGTGAGCAACCCCAGATACGATGAACTTGGCATTCTTTTTCCACCCCACAACGCGGGCAGAGCTGATCGATGACGACCCCCTTGGAGGCCGCTACTACTGCCCGACGAGCTCGAGGCCACGAAGCCCCTGCCGCTATCGTGACAAGCAGCCCCGACAAACGGCTACCGCGATCCAGACTCAACAGCTGGGCGTGAAGGCGGCGGAGCGATGTGCAGTCAACACCCTCCCCCATGCCTCCTCCACAATAGTGCTGAGCCGCGTCGCGCCATAGCTTCCGAGAAATGGAAAACTGAACATCTCGAACAAGTCCGCCTGGATCGTCCACGTCGGGCCAGCCTTCCCAAACGTGATCAGGAAACTGCCATTCAATAGTTTCACCTTCTGCAGTCTCCGCTGGCCTGGTCCAATCTGTGGCGGAAACAGGGTCCCAACCAAGACTCAAGAATATTGATTATGGCCGACATTGGTCCCCGTATGCGCCGAGACCGTTGTCCAGACGGAATGCCTCTGAACTTCCCGACGAGCGATGACCAGGCACGAGATGCACCTGGACGCATAGCGGGTTCACTCTGCCAAACTTTAAACCAAGTGCGAAGACATTCCTCAGGCATCTTCAGGGCTGGGTCCATGGGCGCCTTGATCGCCAGCAGCGTCGCGAGGCAGCGCCCGCGGGAAGGTGCAGAGATGGCTGCCCCTAAGCGCTGCCTGTGCTGCTGCATGTGCACCCCGAAGACCCCGTGAATCCGAAAGCCGCGCGCCCCCGCCGCCTGAGCTCCCAAGCGCTCAAACCTGGAATATGCCGCATGCTTGCGCCCTGCCTGGGCAAAGCGCCGCACCCAGGTGTTCATGGTCTTGTGCTTGGCGTCTCTCTTCCGCCACGCAGTGCGAACGCGTCGCCTGCCGCGGCCAAGGTCCGAGCCTAAGTCTCCTGCAGAACGCTCAGCGGGAACGTGAAATCCTGCAAGACGGAGGGCTCTGGCTACCTTGGCCGCGTCGGGATGGTGAGAGCACATGGCGATGCTCTTACTGGCAACGCGCAACTTCATCGAAGCCAGACCCTGACACGTCTCGTTCAAACTGGAAATGAACTGCTGCCGTACCTGAGCGCGAGAGCCGACTGCACGTGGTGGCCCACCCGATGATGCGGTGGCCCAGATGCGGTGGCCCACCCGAGGATGGGCTAAACATATTCTATCGATCACATAGTATACCATGATGCGTCCGAACCTCGTGCCGCTGCGCAACCCCTGGACGATCGACTGAGTAGGCTCAATCGGCAAGGCCCGAGGGCTGCTCTGCCCGAGAGCCCTCGGCGCGGCGCACTGGAGCACCTCCGAGCACAGGATGGCCGCAGGAACGCCGAGTGCCAAGCCCTTCGGCACCAGGATCTCCCACGGCACATTGTCGTAGAAGCCGTCGATGTCGAGCAGCCCTGCGCCTGAGGGGATGCCGAGCTGGTGCCCGACCTCCTCGAGCGCCCGAATGAAAGCTTCGCGCAAGGCAGCATTGCCTCGCACCGCCGCGCCCCAATGAGGTGCTGACGCCTCGGGCCACCGCCTGACCTCGGGCTCGCGCACGAGGCTCCAGATTCTGCTGAACATGGAGAGCAGCCCGATAATCCTATCGCCCTCAGTCTTCTTGGGGAGGAGCCCCCCCCCCAAGGTCATCATGATCTGATGCGGCCAGGCGATCTCCGACTCGATGGCCGTGTAGAGAGACGCCAAGTCGTCCAAAACAACGAGCGGGGGCCGCTCGAAGCCAACTGGGGACATTCGATCGACCCCTTGGCCAGCGCCAGGTGCCATGGACCGCGCCGCGCGCCGAATGTCCTCTCCAGAGATGTCTGGGAGAGGCTCGAGCTCGGCACGCGCGCGAGCCTGACGGAAAGCCTCCTGCAAGGCTCCTGCATCAGGCTGTGACCGCGTCCACAGCTGTCTCCAGCGCTTGGCCTTGTGGTCCACGATGTCCAGCGGCTGATAAAGGATCTCCCCCTCGACCTCCAGCTCGTGGCGAACTGCCGGTTCCTGACGGATGCTGCGATGAAGTTTGCATGTGGCCGCATCTGTCTCCATCCAAGATCCGAAATCTTTCGCTGCTAAAGCGACTGCCCGTCTCTGAGCTCTGGCCGAGATCTTACAGGACAGGTCCGCATACAACTGAAGCTGCTGCTGATCAATCCCTGCCTCGTCCAAGACGTGTCTGAAGACTTGTTGCCACTTTCGCCAACTAGGTTCCTTATTGCGAAGTAGCGTGTGTGCCTTCTCTTGGTGATCGTCCACGTGCCTGCCGAGGGATTCCAACGCGCGTTGACGTTGCCGATGCCCATTGCCACGCTTGTAGTGCCGAGCTAATCCGTCCAGCAAGGTATGTAGCCGAGTCCGCCAGCACGAGAGAACATCGCGCTCGGGCGTCAGCCGATGCCTCTCCTGCTGATGGACCACATCACTACGAAACCTGTGGCCAGCGCGACGGGCAATCCCAGGAAGGTCCTGTAGACCGTGGTGCGTGCGAATGGTGAGCTCAGCAGCACTCACCCAAGACGCGCAAGGAAGAGATGGCCTGCACGGCGGCAGGTGGATTGGGCCAAGAGGCCACGGAGCGGAGGAACGGATGGGGGGGGGGGGATACCACCCGCTGGGGTGAAACCTACCTGCCTCTTGCTCTCTAACCACGTGGCCTCAGGGATATCAAAGTCGGCTTCATGCGAAACATGATTCCAATCACTTTGAAACACGTGGTCAGGGATATAAAAGTCGGCTCCACAATTCGGGGGGGGAGGAGGAGGAGGAGGGGGAGGAGGAGAAGGGGTGGGTTAACCATCGGGGTCTGAACTATTGCTGCACTTAGACGCTGGGAGGGCTCGGGGCATACTTAAGTCGGAACCATGCGGAGGCTGAACGAAAGGGGGCCCTGGGGGAACCTTGCCCAAAGCACCTGAGACACTATTGCAGCCTCGAGGCTCGCCAGACTTAGCGGGGGGCCCTCCGCCTACTTCATTGTGCGCTGCTGGTTTGAACTCAGACTCCTGGGCCCACGGGCCCTCCTCGGAAACGAAGCCAACCTCGTCGGGGTCCTCTTCGAGACCCTCGGGGCATTCAAAACTGGCCTCGCTCCGAACTTCGTCGGGGGCGGAATGCTCATCTGACTCAAGGGGCTTCAAGAGATCACTGAACAACACATCGGACTGCTTTTTCCTCGCGGAGCTGCGCTGGCGACTGCGCTCCTCGTTCTCGGCCTTCGCCCGGCT